CGATGTTTTCTTTCGGCTACACCATTTTGTTGCGGAGTAGAGACACAACTTGATTGGTGAATGATGTCTTTGTCGAGATAAAAATTCCTCAATATGAATTCGGGACTATTATCACTTTGAATGATTTTGACTTTTAGATTGAATTGTGTTTCAACGAGATTTATGAACTTGATGATGTATGAGTGTGTATCTGATTTATGGTTCATCAAATAAGTCCATGTGCATCGAGTATAATCATCAACAATTGTGAGAAAATACCGCGCTCCAGTGATTGAAGGAACTTGGTATCCTCCCCAAATGTCAACATGAATTAATTCAAAAGGTGTTTTTGAGCTAATGGAACTTGTTTGAAAAGGTAAACGAGTTTGCTTAGCCAATAGACAAATTAAACAATCAAAAACATTACAAATATTCTTCTTTATAATTGGAAAAGGAAACAGACTGGAAATTTTATTTGATGGGTGGCCTAGACGTTTATGCCAGAGATTTGGAGATGGTGAAGTAGCAACATTGCACTTGCTCTTTTGTGGAGTATCAAGGTAGTAGAGTCCTCTTTTAGTTCTCGTCTCAATCATCTTCCCCGATTGTTGGTCCTGTAGAACACAAGTGTGGTTATTAAAAATGGCAAGACATTGTGAATCAAACACAAATTTGCTAATGGAAATCAGATTTAATTTGAAGGAGGGGACACATAAAACATTTTGTAGAACAAAGTCAGCAAAATGGATGTTGCCTATGTGTGTGACAGTTGCAGTAGCTCCGTTAGGCAAGTGAACTTTTCGATTGATGACACTGGATTCTGTAGTAAGTATGTTGGCTGAATATACCATGTGATCTGTGGCTCCTGTGTCAAGAATCCAGCTTATTTTTTTATCAAAAACAGAGACACAAAAGATTTTACCTGAGACATCACCTATTGCTGATGTACTGCCAACAAGATTAACCATCGAATTAGATTTTTTCTCTGCAAGTAATGATATGAGGCTTTGATATTGTTCAGTTGTAAGGGTGAATGGTGCAGGACCCGTTGATGCATTGGTATCCGCATGGTTGGCTTTGGGAGCAAAATTTTTCCGTTCAGGTTTATTGCCTGTTGGATTGGTCCTTTGCAACTTCCTACAATCATTGATGGTGTGTCCCTGCCATCCACAATAATCGCATTTGAGATGTGCTCGACATGTGTCTGAGGTATGCCCAATTTTTTCACATTTTCCACACTTTAAATGAGGATTTTTAGGCGTGAAAACCTTCTCTGGTTTTCGTGCATTATTCTTCACGGCAAAAGCTGAAGCTTCCGGCTGCGGCACATTTAGATTGTTCATGCCGCGCTGCTTTTCCTCTTGGAGCGCGAGAGAATGTGCCTTGCTGACATTGGGAAGGGGATCCATGAGCAAAATTTGTCCTCTTATACTAGTGTATGTTTCATTAAGCCCCATGAGAAATTTCATGGTTTTCTGGTTTTGCTGAAACTGCATCACTTCCTTCATGGCACCACACGTGCATTTAGGAATGTTATGGAGGGCATCACGTTCATCCCATAGGCCTTTGAGCTTGGTGTAATAAGCTCCAACTGTCATATCGCCTTGCTTGCAATCGTGG